TTAAAATAATTATTATATTTTAAACAATTTTTGCTGTTTTCATACAATTTATAAAATTATTATATTTACTTGTAATCTATATCGCATACTGTATTAAAATAATAATAATAATATTAAATTTTCTGGAAAAATTATAAAGAAATTGTCTTAATTATTATAAGATAAAAAAATTAATTTATTTGCTAAATAATGTAATAAATCTATTGTATATATAGAGTATTTAAAATTTATGTAAATAAATATTTGACAATTTATATATACTTTAGTGTCAAATATAAATAGACAATTACTGTACTATTAAAGTTAAATAGAGAAATTTATAAATTATTTGTATTTTGTTTAAATAATTTATTTAATGTGCTATTTGTTGTAATATTGAGTTTACAAAATAAAAATGAATTGAATTTATCATAAAAGTATTCAATGATTATTAAACATACTATTAGTATTTAAAAAAACATTTGAAATAAATATTGTCTATACTATACATACACACAAAATAAATATATAATAGTAAAACACAATGAATTAAATTGATAGTCGATTGATATTCGAATACAATTGTATAGCATTTCAATCAATAAAATAAAAAAACATATAAAATATATCATACAATAAAATAATAGCAAATATGTAGCAACAAAACAAAAACTGTCTGTTTGTTAGCTTATTGTTATGTTTGATCAATCTTTTTGCCTCAATATACTGTATATACAATTCAATACAATATATATATATATATATATATATATATATATATATATATATTTACAATACAATATTTAATATGAGTTTTTTCATTTATACAAAACTATATTATAACAATTTTTGTGTTTATTGTGAAATGATATTATTATTATATGAACTGACATTTAACATAATGGACTGGAGAAGCGATACATTTAGACGGTATGCCAAACATATAACACATCATAACACATAACTTTTCTCTGTATTAAAAATCTGGCCTAAAATACAATCGATTTTGATGTTTATTGAATATAACAATAAAGTCAAACAAGCAGTTTATTATTAAGCAATATAAAAGGTTATACAATAGGAAAAGTTGAGTATAAAACTATAGTATATTATGAATATGTCTCTCATATACAGTAAAAATGATTGGCAAAAAACTTTTGTCCCATTTTTTCCTGTCTTTCAGTCTCAATGATACCAATGTATTATTATTGTTAATATAGAAATTGTATTCAAACTGTCCTATTGTTGTATCAAACAGTTTAGTGAATTATATATTGAAAATATTGGGAAAACGGAAGAATAGCCATATTGTCACAGATGTGCGGACTTGACTGTCACTCTTAAAGTCTCTCAATGTGTGACAATATAACCGATTGTACGGATTAAACATCACATAACAATTAACAGTCATCTGTAATAATACCAAATTTGTTGACCTAAACCAGATGTCTTAAATCACATTTAAATACTATGTATTCAAATAACTAAAAACTAACTCTTATGTAAACCAGGATTAAGGATCAAACTGTATATTCATTTAATTCAATTCAAAATCAATTTAATTATACAATCATTGCCTTCAATGGTTCTCTTCTCAAACTGTATGTTTAAATTATTTAAATAACATTTTTAAAAGATTTTTTAAACTTAAGACTTAACTAAAAAAATCATAACTTTTTTTGCAATACTTGTGAGACAGCCGAAGGCCATAATTTATCATTTGTCTGATTAGGTTTTGACCATAACATTGGCCATTGAAACAGTCAAATATTGGAGATCCCGATATGTGTTTGTGTCAGCTTTTTTTGTTGGTCTTAAGCTTTTAATTTTTCAATTGTGTATCAAAGAAAAAAAAATATTTGTAAGCGAATTGGTTTTGTTATGCCTTCAAAATAGTTTAGTTATCTCTATATATATATATATACATACAGTGAAGTGATGTTAAGCCTAAATAAGGCTACTTGTTATTTGTTATGCTCTGATCACAAACTAACAGTTCCTCTCTCTCTCTCTCTCTCTCTCTCTCTCTCTCTCTCTCTCTATCTATCTATCTATCTATCTATCTATCTATCTATCTCTCTATCTCTCTATCTATCTATCTATCTATCTTTATATGCCTCACACATACACCTCTTACACTAAATCATAGTCCAAGAAACAGCTCTCGTAATCAATTAAGTCGTGAGTTGTTGTAATTGATTTTGTGAAGTCAACCCCTCTTTTTGTTTTTATTTAATTTTTTGTATTATTTTTATTACAATTCTTTTATTTACCACAAAATACACACATAAATAATAAATCTTTAGTTATTTAGTTTTTTATATTATTATTATTTAGTTTTGTTTGCTTTTTATTTTCTGTAGAATTTATTATTTAAATAACAAATACTATTTTAAATAGTTAGTGACTAACTGACTATTGCCTGAAAACTTAAGCGTTCATAATATAACAGTTTAAGGAAATAATTGTTTAGATTTTTATTAAAATAGATGTGGAGATAGTTTTGATTGTTGATATCAAAAAACATAATTGAAAGAAAATGCAATATATATACATATATAATATATTATATGTTTCGTTTGTAGTTTATATAGAAATGAAATATAAAATAATAGTTTATGAGATATCTGTGTGAAGAGAGAGAGAGAGAGAGAGAGAGAGAGAGAGAGAGAGAGAGAGAGAGAGAGAGAGAGAGAGAGAGAGAGAGAGAGATGTTTAACACTAGCACTCAGTCATATAAAAAGTTTTATTCAAATATATACTGTATACCGTAGTATATATATATAAGGATTTGAAAAAATATCACCGAAATTGCCTAAAGGTCTAATATAGCACTGAGAGATTATTATTATTATTACTATTATTATTATTATTATTAGAGGATCGGTATGTAATAATCTGAATGTTTGGTTATGTGTGTGTAATATTACTCTCGATGCCAAACATGAGATATAGGAATATGAGATGATTTGAAAGACACGTTATATAAATTAATATTATATTCTTTATGTTTATATCTGTTTTTATCCAACTATATTGCACTGCAAGAGTTATGGTTTAGGTAGGTATCAGTGCCATTGATGACACAATTTAATAGTTATGTCATCCCCGCTCACAACTATTTATAACAATACACAATAATACACCATTGGATACATAGTATTATTGTTATCCTGATATAAATGGGTATTGTATTAAAGCACAGACCTATTATCGCGCCTAACGTTTCCGTTTTGACATTTTGTCACAAACAGTGTTATGTTCATTGTTTCTGATAAAACCATACCATCACCACAATCATAGACATATATATATATATATATATATGTTTCAGCACCCGTACCTAAAAGTCTATAACACTAAAAATATGTATATATAACTGGAGGCATACATTTTTATTCAGCATATAATATGTATCATACAATATACAGTATGTACCAAAAACTTCATACTATATTTATTGACACGATTTTCAAAAGCGATACAAAAATATGTGGGGAAAAGTATTGTCTGTTTTGTAATAATACTAATAATACTGTTAGCCATCAAAAAACTCAATGACTAGTTATGTCTTACTTTATCTTTTTATATGATATAACTTGATGTCATATCGGCTAACAATACAAATGTCATTAAAACTAAAAGATAGTTTTCATTTATTACTATAAACAAGCATTATACAGTATATAGATATAATATTTATATGTTTTATGCACATTATATACAGTATATAAATTGTGTTTGTTTTTTATACGTTATTATCATTTTAGCTAATTATTTCTCTCTATTGAAACTGTAATAAATAGGAGGGAATCGGTAGACAATATCAAGGAATTGTGGCAATAAATGGAAAGTTTGTCAACAATAGGACATAACAAGTGCTACCATTTCTTTAACAATAATTTTGTTGCTAATGTGTCACTTGAGTTCACTATTTAATCAAGAGGTGTACCATTGATTGCAGAGTAGAAAGGTATAGATTAGACGTGTATTTTCAAATGATAGTAAAAAACTGGTCTTTTGAGAGCTGAAAATAAATGTATTATTTATGTAATAAGGTTTTAGTGATTAGACACTGGTGTCGGGTATTATCTGTCGGTCAAAACTTATGTATGATTATTATGTATGTGCTATAATGCCGACACCAAAACAACATAATAGACATTACAATGTCTTTAATTTGCACTTATCTCTCAATTGCCGTACATATTACAGAATCAATGATTGAAACGATAGTAAGGCATATCAAGACATGAATATAATGTGATTGTATTCATAGAAATAGTATAATCATACGCCTCCTCCCGACTCAACAACTATTTTATATCTCTATGTAGTCCTTAATATATTACATACTTACATAATATATCATACATTATATATTAAATAATACTATCTGATATAAAAGATAAGAAATAAATTTTTGACATATTTGCTAGTTTTCTCGTTTATTATTTTTATAAAATAAAAATTAAATTATTTACAATACACTCGACATTTAGAAAAACAGAGATTCAATAATATAAATGAATAAAAATTATAATAATTTTAATGTTGTTTTTGAAATAAAATTATATAATTTAATTTACTGTTATATATATTAATATATAATATAATATAATATATATATATACTGTATATAATGACTAAAATACTATACATAAAAATTGTGTGCAAATATTTAATGATATACAAGAATTAAATTATTATTAAATTACCGGTTAATACATTTAATGCTATACAATTGCCTCTTATGGTTTTGAATGTATGGTATTTTAAATAAATATTGAATGTGGACATCATAATCACATACCGGAGTCGTATATCGACGCACTGGGAGTTGACTTTGTGGGACTCGTGAGTGATGTGTTAGTCAAGGGTCTCATCCCAGTGGCAGCTGATCCCACCAATACATATAAATAGTATATTAATATACAGATATTGACACCATATAATTGATCAATTTTTGTAAAATATTTTGTGTCAAGTTTTAATAGTTGAGTACAATTAAAAACACTTACCATTTGTGAAATAATGAGAATAAAGTCCAAACAAATGCGAGGCAGTGAGTGTGGGAACTGGAGATGAGGGACTCGAAGACGCCGATGAATGGTTGCTCAATGCAGCGGCTGAATGATTGATCCGAAACCCGATGGGTGACGGCGACTCACTGTTGCATTTATTGCGATCGCTTTCTGGTCGATGACCAGCGCTGGTGTGTAGTTTAACCACCGGTCGGATTAAATTATTAGATTGAGATGTCGATGATATTGTTGATGTGCCAGTGCATGACTGTGCTATTGACGCCAATGATTGCAAGCCTAGTGCTCCCGGTGTCGGAGTGTTACTATGCATTGCACAACTACAGGGCACCAGTAGATTGTATGGTGCCGTACATTGCTGTGAATTGAGGTTCGTATTATTCTGACAGTGATTATGACCCGAAAGCAGTAGACTTTTCATATCAAAACCACCCGTTAATCCTAATTTGGTTTCACCGGACATTTGATGGTTGTGATGATGTGATGCAAACATCGGGTGATCCATTATATTTGACTCATGTCCCGGAGCTGCTCTACTAGTGTCGATAGGCGGAAAGTACGCCTCATTGAATGGATTCAAACCTAATGATGGGGTCAGCGGTGGAAATAAAGATCGCGGTAGAGAAGCGGCGGCCGCCTGAAAATTCAGGTAATCCATAGGCGCCTGAATGTAAGGCATCGGAAATGGATATCTGTCTGATTGTTGTATAAAAGATAAGTGTGGATAAACATCATTAATTTATATTGTCTGACATGTAAGCTACAGGTGCATATTATAATCATTATATGATAAAAATAGTTATACCTTTTTTCATAAGATGCTTAGGTTTACGACGGGGTTTGTATTTATAATCGGGATGTTCTTTCATATGCATCTAATATAAGTCATTTATAATTATTATTTTAACTAATATATTATAGATTTTTTATAATTAATAAAATAATAATATAAAAATTTATTAACATTTCATGGATTTTAATTATTGTTGTAATTTCATTGCAATTTAATATGTATTATAATATCAAATTAAATGCCTTAAATATGACTAACGTCACACAATATAAAACTATTTGATAAAATACTATAAATATTTATTTATTGAACTGGAAATTACTATGTATTTGTGTGAATAATGAAAAGACTCGATGTGTTGAATAAAAAAATACAATTTTTGTTATATTGATAAAAATCAAAACAAATTTTACAATACATACGGCTCTTAAACGTTTTGCCTCTTCAATGAACGGTCTCTTCTCGACATCGCTGTTATGTTAGTTCACAAAAGTGACGACAAATTAAATAATTTTTATACAATTAGTTACTGTTTTGTACCACAAAAATAGCAATTTACGCTATGGTTGTCACACAAGTGGTTTAATCAAGTGTGAGCAGTGCTGAGCACCCGTATGTATATTATGATTAAACATACCTCAAATTTTTCCATTCATTTCCTAATCGTTTACTGATCTCTGAATTATGCATTTTGGGATTTTCTAATGCAATCTAAAATTGTATTTATTATATTGCAAAATATATTTTTACTAATAATTTATATAATATATAATAATTAATATAAATTCAAGTTTTTTAATGTTTTTAAAAATAATATATATTAACTTAATAAATTTTTTAAATGTAAAAATAGAAAATAGATTTTCTATAATATAAATAAAATATAAAAATTAAGAATATTTATCATTTATACATGTATGGTATACAGTATAATATAGTATTAAAGTAATATTAATTGCATTTATTTTATAGAATTGCATAATAGTTAGTAAGTTTTATTTTTAAAAAGTAACATTGAAAACAATTTCATGTTATATAGTACTGTATATGTTCAACAAAATATAGAAATTTTGAAATTTATACAAACAGATAATAATTAATTAGTTATTTGAAAATATAATTAATAATTAAAACTTTATATAAATAAAAATAATACTTACTTTACGTCTCTGTCCGCGACTCCAAACCATAAATGCATTCATCGGTCTCTTCACGTGATCGTTGAGACTGTTCTTAAGCGAAGTTATATTCATTTTGAACGCCAACTCTATCACCAAAATATTAAATCAATTATAATTATATGAATTAAATATTATTATTTTATATTTATAGTAAACACATTGTTATCTAAATTTTGTATATATCATATAAATGATTAAATATTGTTAAAGAAAACAATAATTTGATTAAATGAAATTTAATATTTGCTATGAATTTATTATATGCTAAATGTTTTGATTAATTGGTTCAATTAATTTATGCTGTCATTTGAAATGATATTTTTTTAAAGGATTAACAGTTTCTTTAAAAAAGACGTAATAAAAGATCAAAGAGTGGGTGAATGAGTGAAATAGAAAGAAAGAAAGAAAGAGAGAAAGAGACTGAAAGATATTGTGCTAAAGCTGTTGTCAAACATTGTTGTTATCGCATATAAAATGATTGATTTTTATGAACAAAAAATAAGATTTTTTCGAAATTTAGTTTAAACTAACAAATGGCCAAAAGCTCAATAAGATGTATACAATATTATACAAAACTTGACATATAATTCAAAATCTATACTAAAAAAAAGTTGTAAAATACATACAAAAAAGTTTCACTTTTTAGAGGGGAAAATAGTTTTGAAAAAATTTCCGGTAAATACAAAAGATAGAGAATTTGTGTGGAATTTATACTTAATTGGAGGTCTTTATACTGAAATTTATTTTTTTAGTTAAATTAAAATTAATAAAAATTAAATTCTTTAAAAATCACTTACCAGTATTACAATGTAGTAAAATATATAATTAATTTAATATATTATAAACAAATATAATTATGTTGAAATTTATTTTTTTTAAACTAAATTACAAACACAAAATGTAATGATTTTCATGCACTAAATTTTGTTGTTAAACATAAATTTTTGTTAAATAACAAAAAACCAATAAATGTAATAATTATAATAATGAAAAGCCGATATATGCCTATATATATAATATTATAACATAAAAATACAACAATAATAATAATAATAAAATATTTGAAGAGTTGTTTTCAAAGCAGCGATGGATTTCAATGAATTGTTTGCTGTGTTTCTCACTCATTGAGACTTTGATGACTGCCTTTAGACTATTCAATAGGCAATACAATGCAAGTGTTTCACTGTTTGTGTGTTTCGGCACAAACACTAGTATATGATATTAAAGCTGTCGGTGCTGTGGATGTATGCCTTCAACTGCCAATTAGAGCACTGCTTACAAAAGCATTGGGTGGGAACTGGTTGGCCCATCTCTCCTCCTAAAGAAATCAATTCATACCATACCAGATACCATATATGTAATCTCAAGTAGTAATACTGCATATATCAAAACACACTAAACATTGTACACTACATTATACAAATTTATTGCCTTTACTTTACCAGTGCTGCATCCAAGAGTCATATAACTCTCTCAGTTATATCGAGAGAGAGAGAGAGAGAGAGAGAGAGAGAGAGAGAGAGAGAGAGAGAGAGAGAGAGAGAGAGAGAGAGAGAGAGGAGAAAGTGAAAGCAAATTTTATTGATGATATGTGTGTTAAATATTTATTTGTGAGATTTATATATGAGTTTAGATGTGAATAAAAGGCGAATGCTTTGCGTCGCTGGGGAGTCACTAAAAGCCACTAAAATATATGATTGTTTGGCACTAAATATATATTATTAGTGCTAAAGAATTACTCCTTAATTAATACCCAAAAATTCATTACCCATTTCTTTGATTAATTTTATTATCTCTTTTTCATTCATTTTATTTATTTATTATTCATTTATTTTCTGAGCTCCCTTTTTATTACTTATAAAATTATTATAATATATTGTTTGATAATATTATAGTCGATTAATATTATTTAAACACAAAATGCAAACTATTTTTCTCACATTTTTCATTATATATTCTTTAGTATTTTGGATCATTTAATTCAATTAATTGTTTAATGAATTTAAATGACTTTTATCTATATGTGTTTATATTATATATTAGAAAAACTTTTTAATTAATTGTGTATTTAATCTTTTCATGCGATTATATTCTTAATGTATTAACTTTATTATTATTATAACAATAATTATATACCATCAAACATTTAATACTGTATTGAAATTATTTAAAAAAGTTGAATATAAAATTACTATATGAATTATTTAGTAATTTTGTCTATTATAAATATTTGTATACTACATATAATAAATAAATTATTTAAATATTATACAATATAAATCTAGTTTTTATTTAAGTAAAATTTGGTAAATTCAAATTATATAGAGTATAATTTAGTGATATTGTTTAAAGTATACTGTTTACTTTTTGATTAGCAAAAAAACCTAAAAAATACAATAAAAATCTTTTATTTTGACAAAAAATGTACAAAAGATCAATAATAAAGAGGAAAGACTATAAAGAGGGAAATGTATGTTATTAGTGGTTCTGATGAGAGTCACTATTAGGTGATATAACAAAAAAAATAAGAGTTCTTTTGTTATCAACACAAAAATAAAGCTATAGTTATGTCATTGATAGTTAAGTGTAGACAAAATGCTTTATAAAAATAATATATATATATGTGTGTGTGTGTATGTATGTATGTATGTGTGTGTGTGTGTGTGTGTGTGTGTGTGTGTGTGTGTGTGTGTGTGTGTGTGTGTGTATGTATGTATGTATGTGTGTGTGTGTGTGTGTGTGTGTGTGTGTGTGTGTGTGTGTGTGTGTGTGTGTGTGTGTGTGTGTGTGTGTGTGTATGTATGTATGTATGTATGTATGTGTGTGTGTGTGTGTGTGTGTGTGTGTGTGTGTGTGTGTGTGTGTGTGTGTGTGTGTGTGTGTGTGTGTGTGTGTGTGTGTGTATTAACAACAAAACACTTGACAACAAGCCTATGACGGTTAATGTCTGCATTTGACATCACAATAAGGTTTTTCATGCAATATTCAATGGCAAAGACAAACTATACTGTCTTTGACCACAACGACAATAATGATATTTCACTTGTTGTTACTCAACATTATTTGTAATAAGGGTTTCATAGGGTATTATACTGTATATGCTTAACAATTATGGTATTCACCGCAGTTTCAGCATCACTAACACACACATACTTTACTACCACTCGAGACCCTAATTGTGAGTCCCCTTACTTTCTCTTTTCAATATGCTTTTTGTCACAATTTCTATGTCCAATATTTATAAAAATAAGGCATAAGTAGATATAGTATACAATATATTATTCTGTATTATGAACCACCAGTGCTATTGTCGTATGAAATGTCATAAACCCTGATGAATGGCACAACCATTAAACATATAACTCTTATTAAAAAATATTTGTCACAAGAATTTGTGCGACAAAAACCCTAACTATTCGGAAGTTTTGTCGAACGAAAACAACAGGAAATGGATGACTACTCAAAGCCAACAAACTTATGATAACATAATCACTCCCTGAGCTTCAAATTGACAGTAAATATACAGTAATTTATTGGTAAGACTCTCTGTCAATGGAAAAATTACTTTAATGTTATATTGTTTTTTGCAATTAACCTGATTTTATTGAATTAGACATAGTTTTAACGAGATCTCTGTCTTTATATTAATAAAAAAGATGTTAATGTTTTGGGTTTTGGTTTACTAATAATAATCATTATTAACTAATATACAAATTATTTAAGAGTTTTAAAAATCCTATAACACAGACATCAGACATTCAAACGACTGTCTGTAAACACATTTAATAAAGAATAAAATCATTAATATATTTCTGAGATAACAAAACTAACACTATATTCAATATAACTTTATATTTAAGTCATTGAAATTATTTAAAAAATAACACATAAAGAGAGAGAGAGAGAGAGAGAGAGAGAGAGAGAGATTGAAAAAGACGACAAATATCAGTGTTTGTATAAACTTATTAAAAGCTTCAATAGTTGTCCTCTTTTTATATAACAAAATATTATTTTTTATATTCACTGTCAAATAGACGTACAGAGAAGTTGTTGACTATACAAAGTAACTTATATTTATGAATACAATGTTTGCCAAAATATTACTATTTTTACTGTTGGCCCTAAAAAGCCAACCCCTGAATACATAGTAAATGTTACATAATATACAAAAATGTGTAAATAATATATAAAAGTTGAAATATATTGCAATTTCTTATCGAAACAATTTTCTTCATCAAATACACTATTTTGTCGCTCTCTCTCTCTCTCTCTCTCTCTCTCTCTCTCTCTCATCAATAAGTTATATACTGTTATCACTATCACTGGCAATACTATAGCTTTTTGTATTTAAGACCAATGTATGTGTGTTTGAACACAATATCCATTTCGGGTAATAATTCAAAACGACATTATTAACTGACCGACCACTAGCTTTTACATACACGGCTTCTCATATTAAATAGTTAGCCACTGGGTATTCAGTTTCTCTCATTTTATAACTGAGAAATATACTCTACTATATAATGTATATAAATCTTTATATTTGTGTTATGACTAACACTTGTAATAAATATTCTTAAAAATAGAGATAAGAGTGAAAAAGTGAAAATGAAATAAAAAATGTGATTCACTTTTTTACTGACCACTAAATAATCAAATATTATATTTCTGTGGTTAACATTAACAAGTAAAACATGTTTCAAAGTGTCTAATATAACATATAAATATATTCACTATAAATACATTTATATTGAACACTATAGTGATGACAACACAATTGCATTATTAGACACAATGTTTAGTGTATTTTATATATGACATTAAATATCATTAAAACTTATCTACAATTGTTATTATATTTTTCATAATATTAAATATTAAAACTTTAACAAATCTTTCATTATACGTGTGCTTTACCACTCAAATTCTCAACACATTTGAAGATTTAAAAAATAATATTTTAAAAATTAAATAAATTTTTGCAATTTTTTTCATTAAAAAATGCTAATATTTTGAATAGTTAGTTAACCTAACGGTAATAATTAAAAAATATGACCATTAAGTTAAAAAAA